ATGTCACAATGCTGGTAAGCGACAGGACATGGGCTGCAGTGAAGCCCCAGGTTGAAGGTGAGGCGATCACAGCCCAGAGAGGGAACTGACTCAGCTAAAGTCCCACAGCCACACTAGGGAAGGAACGGGTCCCAGGGACCTTTACCCAAAAGACTCGCAGGAGGTGGGGACAGGCCAGCTCTGTAAAGAGGCCCCTGAAAACCACCTCTGTGGCTGCCAGGGCGGCGTGCCTAGGTTCGGCAGCACCTTGGCAGGCAGGCCTGGGGTCAGGGATCTGGACTGGCAGCTGTCCAGCTCCAAGGCTTGGCTCTCAAGGCCCCCCCATCCGCCTCACCTCCTCTTTTGAGGCTGGTCCAGCCGCACGTCCCAGCAGCAGCAGCCCCCCTCACAGCCAGCCAGCAGATAGGCATCTGGGTTGGAGGCAACAGGGCAGAGGCGCAGGGGGGTGGAGGTGGTATCCAGTGTGAGCAGCTGGCTGCCAGCAGGTAAACGGGAGAGCATGAGGCCACGGGCCCAGATGTCCACGCACCCTGGCAGCCGGCCCTCTGCACACCAGCCCTGCCCGAGTCATCACCTGGCCTGGAACTTGTAATCTTGGTTGGGAACCCCGATGTCCCAGAGGATGATCCTCTTGTCATAGGAGGCCGCTGAGGAAGAGATACGAGGGGAGAGTGGCTCTGAGGAGGCCCTGCTCCCTCCTAAAAAGCTGAGACCGTGGTTCCAGAGCCAACCTCTCGCCAGCAGAGAGAGAGGGCCACCGCCTCCAATCACTATCTACGCTAACCTAACGTGTGCCACACCCAGCAGCCATCTTTTGTAGGCCTCTGCTCACACGTCACCCTCATTGGTGCACCGCAACCGAAGGGCCAGGGGTGTCCGCCCTGGTCACAAACAGTGGCCCAGGTTGTTAGAAAGCTCCAAGGCTACAGAGCAAGTTAGGGGGAAAGCCAGGATCCGAAGCCATCATTCGTCCACAAAGTCGCATTGCTTCTACTGTGGCCGGAGCCAATCTTGGAAGCCCGGAGTGAGAACGCCAGCTACAGTAGTCCCCCACCATCCCAGGGAGGGACCACTGAGGCGTCAGGCTGCAGGGCAGGGGTGCTAGGGGACCCCTGAGGGTGTGCAGAGAGGATCTTACTGAAGAGGTGGGTTTCGTGGGTGGGGCTGAAGCAGAGGGTGGCGATGGCCTTCTTGTGGGCCCGGATGACCCCGCAGCAGAAGCCAGCACGCACGTGCAGCAGCCGGACCTGGCCCCGCAGGCCTGCAGCCGCCAATATGCTCCAGCGCTTCTTGTGGCCTGCCTGTGTGACCACTGTCAGGGCTGTCCAGGCCACTGAGAAGAACTCCTGCGGGAGTCGGGGGGGATACAGCAGTCACCGAGGGGCAGAGCTACCTCTGTGCACATACCTGCAGGATCAAATCTGGGAAACTGAGGCCAGCATCAAAAAAAATGGTCCCTGGTGAACAGAGGGCACTCCCGCCCCCAGGGCTCTGCCCGCCGCCCTGCAGGAGCAGGGCCCTGGCACTCACCTCGCCAGGTGCCTTGTACTTGTGCAATACGATGCCCGTCTGGCAGTCTATCACACACACAGCCTCTCCACCGCACGTGGCCACGGTCTGGGATGTGGCCCTTGTATGCCCTGTTTTGAGGGGTTAGTCTAGTAAGAACATTTTCTGTAAAGTTTCCTCCCTGCAGTTCCCTCCTCCTGGCCTTGACAATGTTTTGTTTTTTCCTTTTAAGATTTTATTTATTTTTAAGAGAGTGGCTCCAAAAAGGAGGGAGAAAGAGAGATAAAGAAAAATTGATGTGACAGAGAAACACCGATCGGGCACCTCCTGCACGTGCCCCAACTAGGGATTGAGCCCACAACCCAGGCATGTGCCGTGACTGGGGACTGAACCTGTGACCTGTTGTTCGCGGGATGATGCCCAACCGAGCCACACTAGTCAGGGTGCCTGGACATTTTTAAGCCCTCTGTCCCTTCTGATTTCCCCATCACCCAGGCAGCCCTCCTCCAGGTGGCCCCCATGTGGAAAGCTTGTCTGCTTGTTCCCTGTGGCCCCTGCCCTGCCTGCCCACCAAGGATGTACCCTCGTTCCAGGCTGGCTCAAAGGCGCAGGCCCAGAGCTGGGTCTCCAGGTCCCGAGGACTGTTGTTCTTGCTGTGGCACTGCAGGAAGTGCAGGGGCTCCAGCTTCAGGGCAGGCTGTCAGGGAGAAGGGGGTCATACTTGGGCCTAACCCTTGCTCCCAGCCACACTCCCTGCCACCTTGCTATAGCTTACCTGGCTGCCGCCAGAGCCCATGGGGCGGCCCTCCATCTGGGCCAAAGGGGAGTTGCACATCCGCTTGCTGGGAGAGAGGTTAGGTGGGGCATCATCTGGCCGTTTTGAGGCTGCTGGCCTGGCCTGTGTGGGGGAAGGAGTCGCTGAGAGCTGGTGACCATGAGATCATCTGCCCAGGGCTTCCTCCCTCCCTATCACAGGCTGACCTGCACCCGACCATGGGTGAGGCAGGCCAGGACTGGCCCAAGGTCAGAGGGAATCAGCTCGAGAACTGCAGGCCGTCTCCTTGGCTCATTCCCAGGACCCCTGCTTCCCTGCGGCCTCCCTAGGTAGGAAGGGCCAAGACAGGGGTCACACAGAACCACACTCACCCTGCGCTCCTGGGCAGCTGTGGCTTTTAGGGACTTTTCCGGGATGTCTGCCTCATGCATTTGGGTCCCACCAGAGGCCACCAGCTCCTCAGATATCATCCGGACCTGCTGGGGCCAGGCCATTAAGAAGCTGGGCACAGTCCTGGGGCCCCGCAGGCCTGCCTCTGGCACCCAGTCGGAGGGAGCTTGTGCTTCCTGAGTTGGGGAAGGGCCTTTCCAACCAGTAGTGGTGACTTTCCTGACCTGCCCCACTCCCCACAGTGCCTCAGGGCCAGAGACCTGCAGGGCAGCTCAGGGCACGGGAGCTGGCAGGGAGCTGTCAGGGAGCTTTGTCCACAAAGTCGCATTGCTTCTCCTGTGGCCGGAGCCAATCTTGGCAGCCTGGAGTGAGACCGCCAGCTACAGTAGTCCCCCACCATCCCAGGGAGGGACCACTGAGGCGTCAGGCTGCAGGGCAGGGGTGACTCTCAGTACAGTGGGATGAGCACATACCCGCCACTGGGTGAACTCGCTGAGGGACTCGGGCCCGTAGCGGACATCCCTTATGGCAGACCTCACAAAGTCCTCCTGGGCCTTCTCAGCCCCGTCCTCAGGGCTCAGTGAGGCCATGAATTTCTCCCAGTGAGCTGTGACCTGGGACAAGAGGGGACAGATCCAGGCCCAGCCCAACCCCGGACCCTCCATGGCCTCTCTGCCCCCAATCTCATGGCCACAGGTGCCTCAACCTCAAGCCTCCCTAAACCATAGCCTTCTTAACTGCATGTTGCACAAATATAAGCAACACACACACACACACACACACACACGGCTAACAGCCCCAGAATGGGGAAAGTGGTCTATCCAGGGTAAAGTTACTGTGAGAGTGTCTCAGCCTCCCCTGCTAGGCCCTGCTCACACGGAGGGCAGGACACCACCCATGGACAAGAGGCCTCGCACCACAACCAGGCTCAGAGCAACATGTAACATTAAGGTTAAGGGCCACTAGGTGTCAGGGAAGAGAGCCCCTGTGACCTTCCTCAGTGTCCTCTAAGTGTCCAAGCCTATTGCTCGCTTCTGAAGGCTCCCAACTATTCCCAAGCCCCGGAGTTACCTCCCAGCCCCCTTACTCTGCTGGTTAGCTCCCGGTTCAGGTTCTCCACTTGCGAGGAAGTGGAGGAAGCATCTTTGCCATTGACCTTACGCAGCTTGGGCAGGAGAAAGGAGACTTTCAGGTTGTCGCTGACCTGGGGAACAAGGGAAGAATGGCTCCGGGGTTGCTGAGCCCAAGGCCAACAGAATGCTGGTCCCAGGCACAGGGTGCTAGGAAAACCCACTTACTGTCAGGAAGGGGTTGCCCTCCAGGCTGAGCTCCTCGAGCTGCGGAAACTGGCACAAGGCAGTGACATCCCCCAGCTGGTTGTTGGCGCAGCGAAGGATGCGCAGATGGGACAGGCCCAGGTTGGCAGGCAGTGTCTCCAGTTGGTTGTTGGACAGGTCTAGCTCCTGAAGCTTCTTCAGACGGCTCAGGAGCTTGGGGTCCAAGTGCTCTGACAGCAGCTTCAGCCCTGACAGGCTGGGGTGAGGACAGACGGGGAGAGCTCAGCGGGCAGGCAGGCAGGCCTCCAGCCCCACACTATGACAGCCGGGGGTGCCTCCAAAGGCTTTTTCACCCGGCATTTCTTGTGCAAACATGGCCTCTCCCCAACACCCAACTTTTTAAAATCTTGTAACCACTTTAGAATTCCGGGCTGCTGGCCCCCTCCAGGATGCTTTTCCTGATCCTCTGGAGGAGACTCCACTGTGTTCCCCAGGCCCTCTGTAACTATCTCAACAGGTTGTTCAATTCTCTTTCCGCACGACTGTTCGTAGCAGCCCGGGCCCTCCCCAGGGATGAAGCCACTCGGGGCCAACCAGGCCCATCTCCTGACGAGAGGACGGGGTTTTGGCCTGAGTGATTACAGACTCCGCCCAACCGACCGGGAGATAACCGGACCAGGCAAGGGTCTCAGCCTCGCTCCCGCACCCCTGCTCGCCCCCGGCCAGCCTCTTACTCCAGGCTCCGGATCTTCCCCAGTCGGTCGCTCTTGGGTCGCCCCCGCTCCATCAGCAGCCGCGCCGAGAGGGGGCCCATGGCGAGGAGGCCCGGGCCGCGCTCGGCGTATCGGGGATACCAGCGTCCTGTGTAGCCCGCGACTCTCGGAGTCAGCTGCTGGCGCAGGCGGCTGGCGCAGCCCAGAAGGTGGCGCCCCGCGAGTTCTTACTGCCGATGACCGGAAGGAAGTGGCCCAGCAGGCCTCGTGCACCGCGTGCAGACTACAAGTCCCATTGGTCCCCACGACCCCGCGCCTGCGCGCTGGCCGCCAGGACACAGCGATGGCGGCTGCGGTGGTGGCGGCCCCCGAGGTCCTTCGGGAATGCGGCTGCAAGGGCATCCGGACCTGTCTAATCTGCGAACGGCAGCGTGGAGGTGACCCACCCTGGCAGCACTCCCCACAGGTAAGGGCTGGATGAGGAGGCCTGCCCACAACTTTATTCTTCATCTGAGGAACCTGAGGCCCAGACTGCCCATGAATACTGTCCTGGATCAAACCGTGTTGGGGGGCCCTCGCCGTGAGGACGTTGCAGGGGTAAGGAGACGCTGGTTTTGAGGAGTGGGCTTGGAGTGGAGAAGGGATTGGGACGTGGGTGCAGTCTGACCACACCTCATCTCTGGGACCTGGGGGAGGTCTGACAGGAAACCTGTACATAACCACCTCCCACCCCCACCCCGCGCCGTCTGGGCCCGGGAGCCTCACGGGGACGTGGCGAGACGATATGGAAAGAGTAGAGGGTGCTGAAAACCAGGGCAAAAGTGCCCAGAGGCCTTGGACGGAAATGAGCAAGGAGGAAATTAATCCCAATTAATTAACGAAAACCGACTCAGCCTTCGAACTGGGCCTGCAAGAATTTAATTGGTAGAAAGGGCGTTCCAGCGGGGGAAACTGCTTGAGTATAGGCCTGGGACACAGGCGTGTGCTTAGAAGGTGGGTGATGCTTCAACGTGAGGGAGAGGAGGTCGGTGGGGCCTGGCCGCAGAGGGCCCTGTGTGTGGCCACTGGGCAGGCCGGAACTTGTCCTGGGGGCATGGAGAGCTAATGAAGGGTTTTAAAGGAAATTACACGTGAATTTTAGAACACTCCTCGGAGCTGGTAGGAAGGTATGAAGGCTGGGAAGCCAGTGAAGGAACTGTTGCATTGTCCCTGGTAAAAGTGTGGAAGATCCTGTGGAAGTCAGTGTAAAGGTTTCTCAAAAAATTAAAAGTAGGATTACTATATGATCCAACAATTCTGGGGATATACCCAAAAGAATGGAAAGCAGGGTCTTGAAGAAATAATTGCACACCCATAGTGGATGCATCCCGAGTGTCCACCGATGGATAAATGGGTAAACAAAAGCAATACGTACAATAGAATATTATTCAGCCTTAAAAAATGGGAATTTTTATATATCCTACAATGTGGGTGAACCTTGAAAATATTATGCTGAGTGAGATGTCTGTCACAAAAGGACAAATGCCACTTGGTTCCACTTACACTACCTAGAGTAGTCAAAATCATAGGGACAGGAACTAGAACCGTGTTTGCCAGGTGTTGGGGGAGGGAAAGGGGAATTGTTGTTTAAAGGGTACAAGGCTTTAGTTTTGCAAGGTGAAAAAGCTCTGGAGATTGGTTGCACAACAGAGTGGATGTGCTTAACACATTGAACTGGATACAGGAAAAATTATTAAAGATGGTAAATTTTATGTTACGTATATTTTACCACAAAAACTTTTTGTAAAAAGCACCAAAGGTCTGAATTGTGTTTGTGGCTGTGGGTGTAGAGACGCAGGACACTCTGGGGGTAGCACCCTCCCAATCTGATGGCTGAGGGATGAGCAAAAGGTCCAAGACAACTCCCACTTTTAACATGTCCCTTGTGAGGTGCCAGAGACAGAGGGCATGGTGGCTCAGAGATGGGGTGGTAGCAATGCCTGTGGAACATAAAGGAGGGAGAAGCAGAATTAATTGGTCGGGGAGGACGTCAGACCGCCATGTAAATTGGACAACGTCATGGCCAACCCAGTGGGAGCTCCCGAGCAAACACTGCCCGTTAGAGGGGTCCCATGTTGGGCAGAAAGGGCCTGGCCCATGCTGAGCCCCCGGCTGGGAGCTGCCAGGCCGAGGATGGCTGCCCCTCACAACCTGGGGCAGATCCTGGGGCACTGCAGCAGGAGACAGTCAGCCCAGCTCTCCTCTCAGTGAAGGAAACTCGGGCGGTGTCTCTGGCCGCCACAGAAGGGGGCAGGACCCAGAGACAGCCGCACCTGCCCTGGAGAGGGCGTCTTTCCTCTCGCCTTCCAGCTCGGGCTGCTCACCCCCTGGGCAGCCCCAGGGCCTCAGCTTTAGGGGTGGGTTATTTCTCAGACTTCTGGTCTAGGTTGGATGTTTTTACACCTGTCTTCTTTAATTTTCACAAGGCTGAGGACAGAAAATACCCGATAGGGGCACACAAACTGTGCACTCGCAGGCTGTTCCCCAGCTGTGCGGCCTCGGGCTAGTTCCTTAATTTTGCTGAGCCTTGGTCACCTCAGCTATAAAATGGAGAATGAAGAATGATTATGCAGATGCACTTCCCTTTCATGGGTGAGGAAAACGAGAGCCTTTCCCGGGAGGCAGCCCCAAGCAGGGGTTTGGCCTCCCTCTTAACTCTCACTGCTTCCAAAGTGGCTTCAGGGGTGGATGAGAAATTGGGCAGGCCCTGCTCCCAAGAGCATCTCCAGAGGGCAGGCTCCAATGGCTCCAGGACCCCTGTTTTTTTTTTACAGAAAACACACCGTTTTGTTTACTACTCGGACACTGGCTGGGCGGTGGGGGCTGAGGAGTCTGACTTTGAAGGCTGGGCCTTCCCCTTCCCTGGTGTGACACTGATAGAGGACTTTGTGACCCAAGAGGAAGAAGCTGAGATGGTGCAGCTGATGGACCGTGAGCCTTGGAAGCTCTCACAGTCTGGACGGAGGAAGCAGGTAGGGTGGCCCAGAGCCGGGGAGGAGAGTTGGGGCTGTCTAAGAGGACAGTCACTCGCTGGGTCCCTTTGCTCACTTCCTGCTCAGCACCCCCCTCCGGAGCCATACCAGGGGTGTGCCCAGCCTGCTTGGCCGGCTCACCTTCCCCACAGGACGCCAGTGAGCCGGGACTCTACAGCAGAGGGCCCCGCAGCGTCCTGCCCTCGCCTCACTGGCCTGGTGCTGGTGACTGTCAGGGAGGGTTTCTTGAAGGCTGCCAGGTGCCTTCCTGTCTGAAGTCCACTCCCCATCAGTCTCGCTCATTTTCAGACTTCAAGTCCCAGGCCGCCTCTTTTTCCGGGATCACAGCTCCCTGTCCCCTCAGTCCTGCTCCTCCCTGTCTAGGTCGCTCCTTCCATTCCTCATCTCCGACAATCCTTGTCCCCACCAGAACCCGTGAGCCATCCATCCGGCCACATTTTCACTTTCTTGCCCCTTCCCATCGTCTTTCCTTACCCTTATTACAGTTTTATTACAGTTACTTCCTTGGGTGCCCCCTCGACCTTTTGTCCTTCACTTCATACTCTTTCCGCTCAACCACAGCCCTCGTCAAGTCCAGCTTCCCCCTCCCTCGCACCCACGTGCAGTCTGCTAGTAGGTCTCCCTGCTCCTGCAGTCGTACCTGCCTCCCCCAGGTCATCGCTTTGCTGCTGTCCTTCCAAACCTCTTCTCCCCTCCTCACTCTCGGGCTGATGGCTTTGCCTCTCTGAGAAAGCAGAGACGTATCAGCACACCTGCCTGCCGTGAGGGGGTGCTGTTCCCTTCTCGCCGGGCCCAGGGCTTCTCCAAGCCCCATGCCAGCTGTGTGCTGGTCCCTTCTACTCAGAAGCAATGTTCAGCATTGCTCCCCTCTCCCCGCAAGATGAATTTTGCCTCAACTAGATCTTTTCTACCAGCCTCCCAGTAAGCTCTCGTCTCTGCAGTGGAATTCCTCAAAAGAGTTGTTTATTCTGTCTTCAGTTCCTTTCCTCCCATTTCTGCTTAATCCACTCAAAAACTGCTTCCATCACTGACCTCCAAGCCCTAAACCCAGCAGCCAGTTCTCAGGCTCCGTCCACCTTCCACCTGTGCAGCTGGAAACATGGATCTCTCCAGGTTTCTGTCTCTTGTTTTCATTCCTGTGAGCTCTTTCTTCCTTTAAAACCTATCTGACTCCGGGAACACCCTCCCCACCGCTGCCACCGCATGCATGCCAGCCCCTGGTTCCCTCCCTGGGGTAGCCCTCACCCCTCTTCAGTCAGTTTCCAATAGAGAGGAAAGTGACTTCAGTGAAGCCTCATTAGGTCCTGTCACTGCTCTGTTACAAACCCTCCCGTGCTCCCATCCCAGCTTACACACAGAGCCCTTCCAGTGCCCTGGCAGGCCCTGCTCTGGCCGTAAGGGCGACCTTTGATTTCACGGCTGCCCTCTGGTGTCCCTTACAGCAGTCACACCAGCCTCCTCAGTGCTCCTTAAGGGCTCCAGCTCCTGGTCCCTCTGCAGGCTGCACCCCCATCTCAGGCTTTCTGCCTGCCGCTGCCTAGCATTGCCCTGCAGGAGGCGCTCACCTGTGCACTGTGAGACGTGCCTGGAAGGAGAAAGTTCCACCAGATGGAGCCACTATTTATTGTAGGGAGACCAGAGAGGGCAGGAGTCGGCAGATAAATGCTCCCCTTTCTCATACCTCAGGCCAAAAATCTGAGGCATATTCCAGAAGGCTCCTCCTCCCTTGTTTTTGTTTTGCTGTTTTTTAGATAGAAGCCATATACCATAAAATTCATCCATTTAAAATGTACAATTCAGTGGATCGGTTTTTAGTATAGTCACAATATAGTGCAACCATTACCACTGTCTAGTTCTGGAACTTTTTTTTTTAAGATTTTATTTACCTTTTTAGAGAGATGGGAAGGGATAGGGAAAGACAGGGAGAGAAAAATCGACATGAGAGAGAAACATTGATCGGTTGCCTCTCATGCACACCCTGACTAGGGACTGAACCCACAACCCAATCATGTGCCCTGACTGGGAATCAAACCAGTGACCTTTCGCCTTGTGGGATGATGCCCAACGAACTGAACCACAATGGTCAGGGCTAGTTCAGGAACATTTTCATCATCCCAAAGGAAGTCCATACTTATTAGCAGTCCCTCCCTATTCCCCCTTCCCTTGGTGATCACTAATCTACTTTTTCTGTCTCTGTGGATTTGGCTATTCTGGACATTTCATATAAATGGGATTATACAGTATATGACCTCTGTGTCTGGTGTCATACTTAGCATAATGTTTTCAGGGTTCATCACTTTGCAGCGTGTTAAAGTGCTTTACTGCTTTTTGTGACTGAATTATATTCTGTTGTATGAATATGCCACCATTGGTTTATTCATTCATCTGCTGGTGAACACCTGGGTTGTTTCCAGTTTTTGGCCATTGTGAACAGTGCTGATGTGAACATTCATGTGCAAGCTTCTGTGTGGACTTTTCATTTCTCTTGGATATATATTAGGTAGAGCTGCTGGGTCACATGATAACTGTTGTCCCTCACAGTTCTGAACCCCAGTTGGGCCCAGTGTTGCCCACCTTGGTAATGCTACCTTGGATTGGCCTTCCCTCCCTTGCTGCTCATTCTTCTGAGATCCCCACTCCTCGGCATCATGTCCTGGATACACTACCTGCACGTGGGCCTTTTGTCTCTAGCTCTGCTTTCTGGGGTACCTAGCCTAAGACATCTTCCAGCACTTCATATCCCCCTTCCCGGCTTTATTTTTTTCCTTAGTATTTATTGTCATCTGTTGGCTCTTTCTGTCTCTATGGTGTCGGCCTCTTCCTGCTGGAATGTCAGACCCATGAAGTCAGAAACTTCTGCTTTTCTTGGTCACTGTGATTGAATCCTTTAGACCTAGTGTGTGATAACATTTCTGTAAACTCAGACAGTACTCCACTTCTTTTTTGTCCTCATCCTTCAGGACTATGGTCCCAAAGTCAACTTTCGGAAACAAAAGCTCAAGACCACTGGCTTCCAAGGCCTCCCCAGCTTCAGCCGAGAGGTGGTGCGGAGAATGGGCCTCTACCCCATCCTGGAGGACTTCCGGCCCGTGGAGCAGTGTAACCTGGACTACTGCCCAGAGCGGGGCTCAGCCATCGACCCCCACCTGGACGACACCTGGCTGTGGGGGGAGCGGCTGGTGAGCCTCAACCTCCTGTCCTCCACCGTGCTGTCCATGTCCCGGGAGGCGCCCGGCAGCCTGCTCCTCTGCCTGGCCCCGTCCGGCTTCCCGGAAGCCCTGGTGGAAGGTGTGATGGCCCCCAGCAGGTCTGTCCTGTGCCAGGAGGTAGAGGTGGCCGTCCCCTTACCCCGCCGCTCCCTGCTCGTGCTCAGCGGGGCCGCACGGCACCAGTGGAAGCATGCCATCCACCGCAGACACATTGAGGCCCGCCGTGTGTGCGTCACCTTCAGGGAGCTGTCAGCCGAGTTCTGTCCTGGTGGGAGGCAGCAAGAACTTGGGCAGGAGCTCCTGCAAATCTCTCTCTCCTTCCAGGGGAGACCCTTGTGAGCTGCCTCCCCAGGGACAGGAGCTGGCGCTGGGCCTGGCCTGAGTGCCGGCTCCAGAGGTGACTGCTTGTCAGGATTGCAGCGGGGAGCCCGGCACACGGGCCTTTCTCCCCAGCTCATCAGGCTTCCAGAGAAGACTGCTGACCCCGCGCATGGTAGCGCACGCCCTGCTGGGACCTGGTTCTGATGGGCATGTGCCTCGGGTCAGCCCCTTTGAGCCGCACTGTCGTCACTTGTTTGGGTTATTTAATTTGTCACAGTTTGAGGGAAGTGGCATAATTTGAGTTTAAAAAATATTGGCATCACTTAAAACCATTTTCTCCTTTAGCCATCTCTCTCAGTGAGGTTTCCCAATACCCCACCCTGCAGTCCCTCCATTTGGGTAGCACGTTGGATTGGAGAATGGAATTGGTAGAAGAATTGAAGTATTACTGTTGCAAATTTCAGAGCTGGTGACAGCTTCCGGGTCAGACTCTGCCAGGGTCATGCTTGACCCAACCTCGGGGTGCGGGGTGCAGTGAGGACAGGGGAATCTGAGACTTTAATACACATATAGCCCACCTCACCCTTGCCCCACATAATGGTGTGAAAAAGTAGGGGGGAAATTCTCCTCAGCCCCCACGGTAGCACAAGGTGGTTCGCCGGCTGGTGCTGTGCCTGTGTGGGCGGCTGCCCCTGTGCGCCTGTGGCCCAGCGTGCAGCCCAGGGAGGTGCGGGGAGAGGGCAGTGTTCCCTGGGCCTGCATGGCCAGCCCTCTCCTACTGCTGATGTGACAGAGTACACACAGCTTGCCCGCCACATGCTGGGAGCCAAACTTGAAGGACCAGAGCCCTGTCACAGCCTGGAAAGTATGGGCAGCACTGGTCTTCATAGTGACTCAGGAACTTTCTAAGAGATGGGAGGTTGGGGGAGCCACTGGCCACCGCAGTGCCTGTGAAGTGGCATCCAGCTGCTGAGCCACTGGCTGGGATGAGAGAACCCTGTGAAGACCCCATGGAGAGGCTGCGAGGGCTTCTAGTGGCTGCGTGAGCCTAGCTGCTGGGTGGGGGCTGGTGGGCTCCCAGATGCCTTAACTGCCACTTTCTGAGTCAATTCACTCAGTAGGAGGGTGGAGGACAGCTTCTTCCCAGGTCTTGTAACCTCCATGCAAGCCCTCGTAGACCCCACTCTGGGTCCCTAATACTGGGCAGTTAGGTCCAAGTCCGGCCGGAATTCCAGCTGATCTTGCTGCGTACTAGCAGCTAAGCAGACGTGCAGGCAAGGTGGTCTGCTCCCCAGGGCCCAATGGAGGCCGGGCCTTAGAGCAACCCACCCCTGGGAGGAGCCTGCAAGATGCTCAGCCAATAAAGGTGGGAGTGGATGTTTGGGAAATGCTGCACCCAAGACTTGTTAGGGAGAGGCCTGTTAAGGCTGGGGAGCCACTCAACAGAGCTCGTTTCTCCTGGAATCTCCTAGTGCTTGCCAGATATTTGACATTTGGCCCTTCCTACAATCCCGCAGAGCACAGGTTAGGAAATGCCCCATCACACAGTAAAGTTGGTGATCCCAAGATGAGTTCGTCCTTGAGGCTGCTACGTGAAGACCGTCAGGCACCAGCCCAGAAGCCACAGCCTGGGGTATGGTGTCTGCTTAACACCCATATTTTACGTAGCTGTTCCTGTTTTCCTTAAACACCAGATGTTTGTTGTGCAGGCTGGTCTGTGCTAATGATCTTGTGGTCTCAGTAGAAGGCAGGAGCCTATGGGAACATCCCGACAGCAGCATCCTCTTCCTAAGTTGGGGGGAGTTGGCTGACGTTCCTCAGCCCACCCTGCTTTGGAAAGATGTTGAGGAAATTTAGGGCCAGTTATCTGTTTGCAGGGTTGGTGAGGCCAAGGCTGGTCCTAACGGGGCTGAACTCAGTCTAGGGAGAACTCTCTGGGTTAATTCTGCCAAACTTTTGCAGAAACTGCCTGTACCGTGTCCCCAGCACCTTGGGACAGCAGGGGCTAGAAAGGATTTAGCATGTTCCAAATGGGCCTAGAATGGAGTGGGCTCAGTCCCATCGCACCTTACCCTGCTGGGCCCTACCCCGGGCTCTGTGGACCCCACCCCTCAACCTTCTGGAAGCATCTGAGTCAGGAATGAGCTCTCTCAGCAGGTCAGCTGGATGGTAAGTGGGCCTGGCCACTGTGGGTTTGCTAGACTCACTGGAGAATTGGTCCACAGAGCCAGTTGGCTGGCCCCGGTGCCTTAGGGCCTGGGCAGTCTTTGCCCTGGGCTATAGAGGCAGGTAGGCCCCCTGTATTGGCAGAACTTTTCCATATAGTTCTGCCAGCTGCTCTGCACACCTAATTCCTAGGAGCATCTGGATTGAAGTGCCAGAAAATCAATAATGGACAGAAAATTCTTTCCTAGAATGGGGCCTCTACCTCAGTGGGCAACTGTTAGAAAACAGGAAGTCTGGGAGTTTCTTCCTGAGTATCACCAGGCCACCCAGCTGGACGCCTGGCCTCAGCCCAGAGCCACAGGTTCCCGGGGCTGCAGAAAGCCCCGTGGGACCAGAGTTTCTATGGCTCCTCTCCTGGAGGGCGCCTAGCTGCCCCTGTCCAGATGGCCCTGTTGGCCCTCGGCTATACGTGGGGCTGTCCTTTGCTGTGTTTTTGGAAAGAGAGCCCTGCTTGGGAAGAAAAGCTGCAGGGAGGGGGCCCCCCACTTGGCAGGAGCCTTGAGGCTTGTCTGGGGCCTAGTGCCCCATCAGAGAAGTCCCTCACCTGAGAAGCCTGTTGGGACACTGGCTGGTGACCAAAAATTAGGAGGAGGCAGGAGGGGCTTAAGGATCCAGGATGCAGCAAGTATCATTGAAGAAGGAGGGAACACCCACAGCATTCCATCAAGAAGAGAGAGTTCTTTTATTCAATCCAGGGCAACTGTTTTAAAAATCTGTACACAGGACAGTTCTGCACACCATACATGATCTGCACAGAGTCATGCATAATGAACTAATTAGCACAAGACAGGTAAGACTGCAGATGAACCTCCATCCACTCGGGCTTCTGCCGTTTTATCCTCCACAGACCTTCCTAGAAGACACGAAAATACATTCTGCCCTCACAGTTTCTAAAATAGAAACACTTGAGTTTTGAAACTTCTGGTCAGGTACTAAATGGAGACTGTGTTCCACTTTGGAATGGGCCTCAAGTATTTTCAGGCAATTGTTTTATGAGCACCAGGAAGGCTCTGCTAGGAGGGAAATAGGGCAAGTCCACACTGGCCCCAGGGTGGCCCACGGCACCTCGCCACAGAATTGCCGCTGTACCGGACCACTCCACAATCACATTAAACCTCCAGAATCCAAATTTCTAGCCTGTAATTTGCCAGCCCCTTCCCTACAGTGCCCTGCTGAGTTGTTCCTGCTGCTCTAGCTCGCAGTTTATCCTCCATCTCCTGACCAGCTCCAGGTCTACCCTGAGGTTGTCAGTCCCCCACCCCCACCCACTGCCAGTCCCCAGACCCCTCGTACTCTCTGTTCCCACAGAAATTCTTTGGAAGGCTGGAGCTGGGAAAGCACTGCAGATGAGAGAACAAGGAACTATAAGAACTGAGTGTTTAAACATGGTTTGTGGCATCTTTCCTATTCACGCATTGGGCACCTACTACCAGACCCTGTTGCGGCCAAAAGCTCCACTCACAGGTCAGCAGAATGGGCCCGCTGGCACTGCGGGCGAGCTTTCCAGTCCAGGGAGCACATCACGGGGCTGGCACACTTGGGGCAGGGCTACCAGATGGCCCAGGAAAGTGGCTGCCGGGGTGCGTCAGGCCCCTCAAAAGGCTCAGGCCAGAGTAAGGGCTTGCTGCCTGCTCCCAGCTGTGGGGAAACGCCAGTTTGCTTGTCACTGCCAGGGCACAAAGCAGCTGTCTTGCGGGGATGCTGACGTTCTTTTGCAAAGCAAAGATAATAAACCAGATAAGCCTTTTCAACGAGGCTGCGGAAAAGAGGAAACATGCACTAGAGAGCAAGGAAGTCGCAACAGATGTCGGCAGGAGATGCAAGAGACACAACCCTTAGAAGGTGCCAGGGCTCTACTCAGGCCGAGCAGGACCCCACATCCAGGCTCCCTGGAAGTGTCACCACGGACACCGTTGATGCTCAGCACAATTCCCAGAGGGCCCCTTGGCATTTCCAAGTTACAGGTTAAGGTTTATGTTCTCACCAGTAGGTCGCATTCCCAGAAACCTCAGCCAGGCCAGTCAGGATTTCTTGACACAGGCAACCCAGACCCCACAGAGGTATTAGGCTTGTTGACAGAAATGCCATCAGAGCACGAAGTACAACGACAATTTGTGAAAACAAATAAAAAGGTCCCCTTCTCCAGGTGGCTGCTGGCCAATGTGGTAAACATGGTTTTTAAAAGCAGCTTGGGTATAGCATGCTCACACAGAAGCTGAGCTGTAGCCTGCATGTGAACAGCCCAACAACACGAGCTAGGACAGCCAGATGCCCTGGGTGCAAACACCAGAACCCACACTGCGGAGGCAGTAAACGTGTGAGCTGGGCCCTGGCGTAAGGCTGAGAGCCTGGGGGCCCAGGGGAAGCACTATGGAGGGTTGTGCCTTCTCTGTAATTGTTCTATGTCATGAGTGAGACCTGTATGCGGCCAGGGCTGGACCCTGGTGCCACCACCCACAGATAGGAAGTCCCCCAAGCTGCCCCTTCTGCTGCCTGGCACCCCAGGTAGCAGGGAGATCAGGCTCTGCCACCTGAGCAAGTGCCCCAGCCCAGCCCGAGGATCAGCTGCCTCAGGCTCAGAGGGCATTCTGTGGCCAAGAGATGGAGGCCTCTGGACTGTGGGCCCTTCTCAACCTGGTGGCCTTGCTGGGTCAATGTGGCCAGGGCTCCAGGCTGGCTAGGAAGAAAGAATTTGAGCCCAGTGTCCTTCAGAGCACCTCTCAGTTAACAGCCTCCTCAAGTGGGCTGCTCCCAGACTTGCCCCTCCCCCGCCACCGGCCCTGCCAGGCCTCCACCCTTGGAAGTCTCCCCCAGGCCCGGACAAGTCTATCACCTCCTGGAGCACCCAGCACACCCGCTGAGCTGACATGTGCCCTTGGTTCCGGCCCTTCCCACAAGCCAGGCCACCCAATGCCCTCCAGAGCAGAGGAGGGAAGCACCAGGCCCAGCTGCAATCCTGTGCCCATCTGATCGCTACAGTCCCCACCTAATCACAGCAGGCTGCCACTATCAGATGTGCCACCCAGCTGCCACGCAGCTCACCTCAGTCATGGGGCGATCCTCCTCTGAACTCACAGCCCTACCCTGATGCTCCAGGCCTTCGCCAGGCTTCCTGCAGTGCTGGCCGCTGGTTCCGCGTCTGTGCAATGATCACGGTGCTAGAGCCCTGCCTCCTGTCTCAGGATTCCCCAGGGCCAACGACTCAGCCTTTCTTTGTCCTAAACTCTTTGCAACAGGGTCTCTCATTTTAGGGTTTCCATTTCCTGAGGAAAATGATCCAGGTTTTATAGCATTAAGACAGAAGTAAAACTTTGGTCTTGAACTACCTGACAGTGTCCAGACAGCCTCCCGGCAATTTACATTTTTGAAACTCCCTCAAAGGCAGGCTGCTTCTGTCGGCGCCCAGCCCCCGGGGCGCCGTGGCCTCACACGACCTGCAGGCTGCGCTCGTGCCCATCCAGCTGCACCTTGAGCTTGTGCAGCTCCTCAATCTCACGGTTGTGCCGCTCAGTTTTGTGGCGCACCAGTGAGCGGTAGAAGTGGATGGTGAAGACCACGAAAATGAGACCCACGGGTACCATGATGATGGTGGACACGAGCGCAGCCTGCCAGCCCGTGTGGCTGCCGGGGCCAGGTGCGGGGCCGGGCTGGTGGCGTGCATCCACAGGCAGGAACTTGATCCAGCAGAGCAGCACAACCTCAGCCAGGAAGAGCAGGATGCCGAGAACAGTGGAGAAGCCCCAGGCCAGCTCGATGTAGGGGTGCATGCGCTCATGCGGCGACTCGCTGATGGAGTTGAGGTTGTGGATGTTGCTCACAGCCTCCACGTTGGGCAGGATGCATGTGCTGATGAGGAGGGCGAAGAGGTGCACAGCCACCAGCACTGTCGTGCAGGCGCTGAAGGCGATGAGCAGAGGCCTTGGGTACTGGTACTGTGTCTCCAGCTGCACTTCCACCATGGCTACCTGTAAGGCAGAGCGGGTGCTACTGGGCTGGGCACCCACTTTCAGACCCTTGCATCGCACAGGGCGTCCTCCTTGCTGTTCAACTATTTTGGCCCTGGCTTGTGCAGCTCAGTGGATTGAGCACCAGCCTATGAACCAAAAAGTTGCCGGTTTGATTCCCGGTCAGGGCACATGCCTGGGTTGCGGGTCAGGTCCCCAGTTAGGGGTGTGCAAGAGGCAACCACATGATGTTTTTCTCCCTCACCTTCTCTCTCCCTTCCCCTCTCTCTCTAAAAATAAATAAATAAAATGTTTTCATAATTGAAAAAAAACTCCGTTTAAAAAAATATTTTGAACTTTTCTTTTTTCTGAGCAGCTAAAGAAGATCTCACTAGGAAAAAGAATCTAAAATACAGAAGAGATTAAAGGAAGCACGGGGCAGGGCAAGGCCACCCTCCAGACGCCTTCGCAGACACAGAATGCAGGGTGTATCTGAGGTGCTGAGCTATGAGCCACTACTTCCCGGGGGATACTGTCGGTATCGCAGCCAGGCTGCAGTGTGGCTTAGATGCAAAAAAAGTGTTCTTTTAGAAAAATTAAAACTGACCTTTCAAAAGGTAAAAAGAAAAAAAGTGAAAACTGAGGTTCCTCATGGTGCCCAGACTCAGAACTGCGCACCTAGACAGCCTCACATAGGCCACAGGGTGCATCTCTCAGGTGACACCAAAAGCCAGCGAGGGAAATCGACATGTCTCAGGGCCAGGAATGGGGATGGACAGGAGGGCCGGGGTGAGAAGGGGCAGCTGTGGGAAGGAGGCTGGGCAGGGGGGTGAGCTGAATCATCAACCACAGGCACAGGATGCCAACAGGCAACACCTAAAATGCATAAATCAAGAAACAGCCGTCTCCGCATGTTATTTGGAAACATTAGGACTGAGAAAGCACCAAGAGGCTGCCTCGGGGAGTGGGGAACACGGCTCTGCCGGCATTGTGATAAGTCTTGTCGCAGTACAGTTGACCCCTGAATAGCAACGAGAGTGTTAGGGGCACCGACCGTGTGTGAGTGGGCTCGTGCAGTTCAAACCCATGTCGTTCAAGGGTCAACTGTACTTAGTTTTTAAACATGTCATAACTGACAAAACAAAAATTATTTTTAAATGAAAGGAGGAGGAGGGCCCACAGGGGGAACCAGAAGAACCCCGAGCTTAGCTCTGTAGCAGCGAATGCTTGTAGCCATTTAGGCAGCACCTGCTCACCCCAGGCCTCGAGGCTCCCAAGCTGCAGACCAAGCAACATGCGCCTGCTCCTCCTTCTGCCCTTGCCCCTGCCGGGCCAGACTCCATTCACCCAGAATAGCCCCCTCTGAGGCCCAGCCCCGCCTAGAACCCCATCCCAGCACTCAGCACTGTGGACCTGCCCAGCGGAGGGTGTGGTCCAGGCCCAGCTAGGGCTCTGGGGCTCACCAAGGGCCTTCTCCCAAGTACCTGAAGGTAAAAAACCAGACAAGGAAAGGGGTGGGAAGGCAGAAAGAAGCCGGAGGAAGGCTTTTCCGCCCACTGTGTTTGCCTTCTAGATTTGAGCCATCCCTGTTTTTAACGACTACCAAGAAAGATTTCACAACTTCTAGCAACTGCCACCTCTTAGAGCGAGCACCTCATCCCCTCGGTGGAGATGGAACGTTTGGTAGTTACCAAGAAGACACGGCCATCCTAGCGGGCCACCTGAACAGAAACTCGGCAGTGATCATTGCTCCAAAAAGACAGTGGCCAACACCAGGAGTCGAGGGGTGGTCTTTTCTTGGTGCCCCTGTGGCCTGGGTAGGCTCTTGTTACCACAAAGGATATGGCCCAACCAAAGGATGTTGCAAACCACAGAGGGCACTGAGATAAGAAACAGAGATGGTTAAAAGGCCTACTAGGAAGCAGTTTTATTCTGCTTCAAGAGGAGAAAAGTCCAAAAGGCCATTTTTCATTGTGTTTAAGTGAAGATTTTAAGAGAGGGTCTCAGATCTCTGGGTCTCTGTGTTATAAAAGTTAAACAGGAGGAAATACACTTAAGGTTAGGCATAAGTGCTTACTCTTGGACAGAGAAACAGTTTTGCAATTCTAATTAGGGAATACATAATATAAAGAGGGGACTCCACCTAGCAAACTGCCTCTTTTCTCCAAGTCCCAGCCCTTGCTTGGCTAGGGTTCCCATGGCCAAAATGCTACCGGACAATCAGTACTGGTCACTTCTTTCTCCCAAGCTGCACCACAGTCTGAACAGTTGTCTGATTGACCGGTGGTCTGTGAAACTCATCAAGTGACACAGCTGCTTTCACCGCCCCGTCTTGGCTCCGTGCTGTTTCCCTTGCTTCCCAGTTTTCACTGCTATGGCGGAATCTCTGGTACACATGAGGCTGGGGCAGCCTCCCTAAGAGGGACCGTCTAGAAGAGAAGGCAAAGGCACTGTGTGGCTTCTAAAATGTATCCCCAGGCTGCTTAGTGAAGAACTTGCTGGTACACAGAAGACACTCCATCAATGCTGAAGAAATGAATTCCTACTGGGAAGTATAACTGCCATTGCTAAGCTAAGGACAGACAGCACCCTGGGGCCCCCATCCGGGGATCCTCGTCTCTCAGCGGTCACTATTCTCAGTCTAAGTTCACTTCATGCCCCTGAAGGCTGCCAGTGCACCTCAAACTACTCTTCTAGAATTTACTCTTTGTTTGATAACTTTATTCAAGGGCTTATTTTCAAATATTGAATAAGTGGTTTTAAAACCTTCAACTTGGACGAGCATTTTGTTGGCCGGAAAACAGGCAAGTTGCCCTAGGTTTGCAAGGCCGGGGTCTAAAAAGACAGCTGCAGACAGGAAGCGATTTCCGATCAGAGCCCCACACAAAAAGGAAACTCCACTGCATTGTGTCACGCAGTACTTCTCACAGGTAGTGTTTCTCCAAAGTTAAAAAAATAATTAAATACAGGCCAGCAAAATGTAATGCAATACTGTAATTCTTCTGTAGTGTCAAAAACAAGCTCTCATTTTAATAGTGATGTTTAAACTTCTCACACGCATTCCTTAAAATGAAGCTTGAGAAAATTCTTTTTCATGTGATGAAAACCACAGACAGAAAATCACTATGAGCCAAAGTTGGATGCCATGTGATTGTACACTTTTGTAATAACATTTTTAAAAAAGAAAATGCAAGGTCTAAATAAAGCTTTGCTTTAACCTAGACCTAAACCCAAATTTATCACTTCTCAGTTTGGGGACCTCTGCCCACCCTGGATTCAGTCACACCCTCACGGTGTAGGATGTCATTTTTCTAAGGGTGGCCCTACCAGTGACCAGGCAGGCCCTTGTCAGAGTGGCCACAGGCGCTCACTCTGATAGCTTTTTATTTTCTGCACTACCAATTTGACAACTGAGGCCCTGGACTGTGGAAAAACAATTGTTTTTGCATTTAAAAAAACCTGCTTCCGGCCCAAAATGACCTCTGAGTTTACAAGACAGAGAAGTGGCTGCAGCCCCAGGAATTCTGACCCCTGACATCTGCAACTTTAGGGCAACTCCCAAAAGGGATGTGGGCTGAGGGCTTTAAAGTCAACAGTGCCTGAGAAAGACTCTTGTCCTGGAAGATGACTCAGAAGGAATGTCACAGCCGGGCGGCTGGGAATGAAGTCAGAGGCTCCGCTTAGTCACCCCAGAGGCCGAGTCTGAGGGCATCTGCACCCCAGGTGGGCTACACTGTGCGAACCCCAATCAATCCCACAGTTCCTGCTCAAGTCCTTGAGATTTTCAAACTCTGGGGTGGTGCCTGACATGGGCAGATGTGGGTCCTTTTCTCCAGGAAACCCTATGCCCTGAAGCTATTTTAATTACCACTCTAACTTCGTTGCCAAGCAATCGTTTTATGTACATGTGAGAGTGATGCTTTCTGTGGGCTCTGAGGCTTGGGAACTCCCCTGTGTCCCCCAGCAACCTGTCTGGTTGATGGAGCACTCACCGTGGAGGAGACGGCATGTGGGGAAACTTCCCAATGGTCCATCCTGGCTGCCAGGGGGGCCCAAAGGGAGTACTTTGCTCCCCGCTGCATCACGGGACATCAGTTAGCCAGCCCATTTTACAGGCTACATTCCCACCAAGTGTTTGCACTCACCATGGCGAAGCCGGAGAGGAGGGCGGAGGTGCGGCTGGAGGCCTTCAGTTTGGCCCTGCTCAGGTAGAGCTTCCTCCAGGAGAGGGCCTGCACGGAGTGGTGGTTGGAGGTGACCAGTTCCAGGTAGCTGCGGCGGACCCAGTCCCGGTAATCCATGCCCTTGTGGCCTGGTTCAGAGCAGGCAGGAGTGGAGGGGTCCACAGGCACATTGAGCTCGGCACTCATGATGGGAGCCAGACTGGGGGCAGGAGAGGGACACACTCAGGCATCCCAAATGGCTCCTGGGGCCTGGAAAATCCAGAATCCAAGCCCAGTTAATCTTCTCTGGGGCCCGCTGAATACACCTTACACTAGAGCTTTGGGGACCAGAGACCAGTGTGAGTGGGGGGCCCTGGTCTCTGATGCAGCCCCCCACACCAGCTATAGGAGAGGAGGGTCAGGGATGCATTTCCAAGAACCGCCACAGTATCCAACATTGTTCCTCTGCAAAGCAGGAATTCAGGCTCCCATCCCAAGCTCTTGGGTGAATGGAATTCCAAGGCTGGCTGAGAGCACCTAAGATGATTCTCCAATTTGCACCCATCATCGGGGACTAGGGAGCTGTACCATTTAGAAAGATCCCAGAACCTCATTACCAAGTCTGGATCTGACCTGTGTGATGCTGGGCATGACACCTGACCTTGCTGACCTCATTCATCTTCAAATGAGGACATCCCGCCCTACAGGGCTCTTAAACAAAGTAATGAACTCAGAACTGTATTTTGATGTCCAAGTGTCGCCAGTGAAATATACCTTTCCAAGCAGCTGCTAGTTTTTCAAACCCAACTTAAATTTTAATCAGCATGGCTCACCCTAAAAAATACTTGGTTGTATACCTAAAGTACAGCCACATGCAGACTGAATTTGAAACCTTTAGCAAAATGAAAAATCAGCCCTGACGGTGTGGCTCAGTGGACTGAACCCTGGCCTGTGAACAGAAAGATCACCAGTTCGATTCCCAGTCAGGGCACATGCCTGCGTTGTGGGCCAGGTGCCCAGATGCGGGCATGGATGTATCTCTCACACATTGCTGTTTATCTCCTGCTCTTTCTCCCTCCCTTCCCCTCTCTCCAAAAGTAAATAAATAAAATCTTTAAAAAAAAAATTAAATCCCCCAACTGACACGAGAATGTTTTACGAAGAATGGAGACTGGAGATCCCTGGGGCTATCCCAGGTAGACATCTGGTGTGACAGTAACACGGAATGAAGGTCAGAAAAACTGATCTGTCAAGAATTATGAATTTAAACCCAAATCTCTACTAATTCAAATAGGATTGGTGGTCTCCTGTGGCCCAAGGGTCTGGTCCTGTGTGGCTTGCACATGGGGATCAGCTGTAATTATTATGCAGGGCAAGCTTCAAGGGCACGGGCACCTCACAGCTCAGTTGGCATCAGATATTAATTTGTGCAGTTAGGCCCCCAAAAAGGCCCCATGAAAAGCCTACTTAAAGCTCTTACAACAGACCAAGGAGCGTGGCTGGGGATGGGTGGGTGCGGTCGGGAGTGTCTGCCAGGGCCAGCAGCTGAGGAAATGCCCGGCACCCGGTCCGTCCATGCCAGTCCCTGAAAGGGCTCCACAGGAAGGTCCTGGAGGTCGGAAGGGCTCCGTTTCAGTGTGCTTTCCTCTTTTGTTCACTGCCAGGCTGTGGAGGCACAGCTTTTACTGGCCAGCTGGACCCTGGGGAACAGTTCTGTGCTCTCCTATTTCTGCTAGGGATGTCAATTACTAGGTCAATTACCAGGAAGGCCTACTTGGAAGCCTTGGTCACTGCCCCCTTGCCCGCATCTGCAGCCAGCAGCACTGTTTTCTTAATTACTGGAAGGTCCCTTCCCTGGGGGAGAATTCTGAGTAATGTTGCTCACTAACCAATCCCGTGGTTAGCTCCAACTAATTTAGAATGGCGTCATTTGAAAATGCATTTTTTTTCTTTCTTTTTTCCATATGTAAAAGAAGTGGGCCTACAGGCATGATAAAGACAGTGTACTGCATGTGGAGGGGTGAAAGGCATAACTTTTGCCCCCTCAGAGCACCTGTCTCTCCACCCAACATCCTGCATCAAAGAGATGCTTACTGGGCCCTAAAGTAAGACAGCATTTGGTATCTAGGCATCAAAGATGAAAAAGCTGAGGATCCTGTGAGTTCCTGTGCCCACTGTGGGAGCAAGATAAGGGTGTGAATCTCATCCAATGAGCTAAATGCTTTGGGGGAGGGGTGTGAGGGCCAAGGGAGCAGAGGAGGTGCTGCCTGCCTCAGCTTTGGGCAGGGAGAAGGTCCTTTTAGGGAGCTAGGATAGGGGACAAGGCCATGGGTAATGAAGGCAATATTGGCAAAGAGGGAACCTCCCTCAAAGACAAGATGCTCCCTCTGCGGGAGGGTTCTGAGAGGCAGGGGACATGGCAGGAAGGCTGGCTGCAGAGAGTCAAGAAAACAGGGAGCAGGGACACAGGACGTAGGTGGTGCTGGATTCCAGGGCAGCACGGGCTGGACTTTCTCTGACGGTGCCTGGCGTGAGTCATGGAAGGAGTTAATGAGGGGAAGGGAACAATCTGGGGTCAGTCTAGTCTGTCTGCCCAATGAAATGGCAGGAGGGCCTGGTGGCCTCCCAAAAGACAAAGGCATGCAGTGCTGAAGAAGAGGAAAGCCCTGGGGCCATCAGTGAGCAGGCGGCTGGGCCCAAGTTCCGGAGGGTGATGAAGAGTTTTCGAGGCAGCGGGGTCTGACGGCAGTGAGGTCTTATGGTGACCTCCTGGGAGTGGCCAGGGCAATCCCAGAAGCCCTGTAAACATCCTCAGAGTGACTGCGGAGGGAAGGAATAAGGGCTGCCTGTCTGCACGGAGCCTGGATCCTGAAGATAGGAAATTCACTTCCTGCGGAGGGAGCAGCCTAGACCTGATTCAAATTCATCCTATCCCTCTACCAGCCCCACTGTTCTCCCTTGTGCCAGGCGTACCCTGTCCGAAGAGGCGCAGAGTTTAGTCCTCACACTCAACTCGAGCTGGGGGTAGGGAGGGACAAGATGGAGCCCGACATTTCAGTCAGGTGGCAGAGGCTCTAAAGGATGCTCTCCTGGAGGAATCTTTAAGGGACTTCGTTTGTTTCTATATAAGGGAAGTCAGAGAAACGAGGTCTAGTACGCTTACGGGGACTCCCTCTGCATTAGTTACCCTCCTTGGCAGGCCTGTTTGAAACACAGACAGGGGGTGGGTTTGCCTATCTTAACTTCCTTTAAACATCTGGGGCGTGAGCAATGGTGAGCGCCCCGCAGAAACGTCTGTTTCTCATTCTCTCTTTGTCATACCCGCGCTGCGGCGGCTGCGGGGGGCCCAGCAGCTCCCACAGGGGTCTCCTAGAGGCATCCATCATCATCTACGTCCCTCCCCCAGCCAGGGAAGCCCCAGCGGCCGCAGGACCCTGACTCGGCCCGTGCCCCCAACCTCCCAGTCCTCTCCACGCCGCTCCCCACCCGGGGATCTAGTGGGGCTGGGGTTACCTGCCCGCCTCCCTACCCTGCAGCCGTCCCATTCCGAGCCTGCCCAAAGGAGAGCCGGAGCCCTACCCCGTCGAGTCTCCTGGTGCAATTCCAGTCCCGTAGATGAGGCGGGGAGCCAGTTGCCTCCTCTAGACCCCCCGCGACGCGCACTCACCGAGCTTCTCTGCCCATTCGTCCCTCTCGGCTCCGACTGGGCTCGGGTTCGCAGCCGGTGGCGGCGATAGCGCTGCCTGGTGTCCCAGCCAGGGCACAGAGTGTGGCCCCCTCCCTTCTTTCTCCGGTCCCGCAGAGTCCCCCTCGGCCCCGCCCTCTCCGGGTGCCCTGCTCCAGCCAGCAGGCCGCAGCCGCTGCCAAGGCAACCGCCCGCTACCCTCACGTGACTCGCCCGCGGGGGCGCTGCGGGCCACGTGACCCGGTGGGCCCAGAGGGGCGGGGCTCGCGGCCCTCCTTGGGGGTCCAGGGACGCCGTGCCGGCTAGACCCTGGCCCTGGCCAGGTGCAAGAACCCTCAAAAGGTCCACACCTCTCCTGTCGCCAGGCGCGCCTCAGGTAGCACTGGACAGGGATTGCTGCGGCTGCTGCCACGGGAGCCGGAAGCCCGGGCATCCCTCGTTCTCTGGCTCCTTGGCCAGCCGCGCAGCCGTCCTAGGCCCCGTCCTAACAGAGCTGTTAAGCCGTGTGGTCTCAGCCTAGGCCTGGGTAGCAAGTCCAGGGTAAGACAGGCCCTGCCCAACGCGATGTGTGACGGTCTAAGACCAGAATGGGACCACGGGGTGTCCAGGGTGAGTTCCAGAAGATGTCCAAAACCGATCACTGTCCCTATCGAGGAGTGGAGAGAGGCCAAAAGGGCGCGTCCTGTGAAGAGAGGGAACAGGGTTCCTGTTATCTGACTGCAGGGAGGGTGGGAGTGAGGTGGGGAAAATGGATGAAAGGGCAGGCTCTTTGGGAAGGGCCCAGGCAGCCACGGGCGAGTTTGCCTAGGTGGACGGTGACACTACGCAGATCGCTAGCTGGAACTGTCAAGTGATCGCCCAAAGCACACGCCCCTCTCCCAGGCTCCTTGAAATCCGCTGGGGATCTAACCCGAGTGCCGCGCGCACTCGGAGTTCTAACCCTGGTGAACGCGCACGGAGAGATGGCACCTGGGGTGAACGTGTCTCTGCGGTGCTCCTGCGCCCTCCATCCGCTGCTGCAGGGAAGCTCTCGCGCCCGCAATGGTAAACTCTCCGGTTTTACAACCGAGACATTCAAACAAGAGCGTTCTTTTCAGGAAGTGCACATGCATGATTCACTACGGGGTGAGACCAGACGGCCCCGCAGAGTCCTTCCTGCATGCCCTACATAGGATTTTTCCATCTGTCACTGCACTGAACCGTGACACATTTATCCAAAAAGGATACCTTTCCATCCAGGAGGACACTTACAAAACAGACTAAGCCAGTTCCCCCTCTGGTTACTGCCCTAACAAAGGTTATAGGAAAATCCTGGAGTCTGATTACTGCCCCGCCTCCATGGTTACAGGAAAGGGGTTATTTGAATTTCAGAGGGCAAAATCCTCAGAAAGCAAGCACACTGTGGCTTTCGAACCTCAAAGCTCTTCATTAAACAACCTGGGGAACAAGAAGAAAAACACTGTAAACTACAGTAGTTGTGTCATAGATGAGGATTCTTTCAGCAGTGGTCATTTGCTTGGTTGAGTTCTCAGCCTTGAAGCCTGAGAGCACATTCTTCACAAAGCTTCCTGTGCTAGTCAACGATGCCTCCACCCCAAGCACCTTTATCCAGCATGTCTGAGCAGAAGCAAAATGTGTCATAATTGCCAGTGCTAGTTTCCTATAAAAGAGAAAATGGCTTTTCCCCACCCCCAGAAGATTAAGGAAGGCGATGGTACCATGTTGAAAGGAGAGAGATGGAATGATCACAGTACTAATGGCTGGAGGCGCCCAGGTAGCTGAGTGAGAGTTCCACAAGGTGTTGAGAGGTTCGAATAAAGGTCCACAAGCACCAGCCACTCAGCAGTCGTCTGGGCTACAGTTTGTGCTGTTATTTTCCTAGTTGGTTCACCTCAGCAAGTGACTTCCTCCCCCAAGGCCCAAGCTACCCCACACTTTAAACAGACCAATTCTTTGAGGCATAGCCCTGGGGTCAACCATCTGCTGGTCTTCCTCACCCACGGATGCCCTGCGTTCAGCGGAGACCGTGGTCCCTGCTTTCCTCTCCGCCCCAGATCTTATTATCCAGCCTGGCCTCACAACTGGCGGGAACAATGGGTCCAGTCCTCTGACACACCAGGTGTCCCCTGGGCCGTTCACTGTTACGGCCTAGCCCTTGTCATGCCCCTCAGTGAAATCTTAACTTCAAATATCCTGCTTTCTGACCTTTTCTCACTTAGTTCTAAACCCATCGCCTTTCTTCCTCCACCCTGCGGAGACCCCCATTTCTCCCTCTCAGCCTCCTTTCCTCTTCAGCCCGACCCCTTCTTGCCTCCATCTTTCCCCAAGAGAAGTCAGGGCAAACTTCACAAGGGAGCCATCATCGTCACTTCCTTCATTTCTGTGACCCACTGACATTGTGTTACACCCAGGAGATATTTCAGCCATTGCCTTTCCTGTCATTTCTCCCTCTACCTGGAAACACACTTTTTTTTTTTTTTTTTTTTTTTGCCCTGGTGACTCCACCTGACTCCCTTTTCTCCTTGTGCAGGCTTTTTTGCTGTGTCCCCCCCAGATGTGGGTATTTCTGAGGGTCGTCTGGGTCCCCCTCTTTGTACTTCTTCCCGATTGGCCTCACCTACCTCCCTTGTTTCAGGAGCCTGATGACTCTCAAATCGCCCCCAGCCCTCATCTTTTCCTAGCTTGGCAGGGGCGCCCCAACTTCACCATGCCCACAGCTGAATCCTCCTTACGCACCTCCTGGATCGCCTGTCTCAGGGGCTTTTGTCAACCACCCAGCGGGTGACACTACTATAGATCTAGTGTCATTCTTGACTCTTCCCCTTCCCATCAAGTGCTGTGAATTCTCCTGCCTACATGTCTCCAGAATTTCCCCCATTTCCCCCTGTCCCCAGGGGCCTCTATACTAATTCAGGCCACCATCGCCTCCAGTCTACATTATAGTAAGAGCTTTCCGCCTGTCCCCTTCCAATCTATTCTTCACGTTGCAAAGTGAAAAATCCCCCTGTGTCTCCCTCCTCCCCCCGCTACCCGCAGCCCTTCAGTGTCCCTGGGGCCTTGGATCCACTTGGCCCCTTAATGTGATTTAGAGGCAGAGCATCTGCTCCCTCCTCAGCTTGCTATCTCAGCTGCCTGGCATTCCAGAGGCCTGAGTCACATGCCCACACAGCACCGTGTGCTACCCTGTATTGGCCTTTTTGCCTCTGATCAGATCTGGAGTTTCGTGAAGGCAAGGGCTGTGTCTTGCTTGCCATCATTCCCATTGCCTAGCAAAGTGCACTTAGGGATCCTTTTGGATTTAGTAGTTGTTCAATAAACATTTGCTACATTCTATGGAATAAGAACACTGAACTTGCCCTGACTGGTATAGCTCAGTGGATTGGATGTCATTCTGTGAAACGAAAGGTCCTGGGTTTGATTCCCAATCAGGGTACATGCCCAGTTGGGGGCTTGTGAGAGGCAACTAATGGGTCCTTCCCTTTCTTTCTCCCTCCCTTCCCCTCTCTCTAAAAATGAATAAATACAATCTTACAGAAGACTGAACACTATCTCACAGGATCTGCCCCAAGTTAATTTCTAAGGATGTTTTCTTCAATGAGATGTTAATATATGGTAATTGTAGCCCACTTTAATCAAGTATGCTTAACATTAAACATAAATCAACTTACAAAGGGAAGGAGAAAACATGACTTTTTCCAGTAATGATTCCAAAGGAAATACTTCCACACAGCTCTTTTACCATGTACCCTGGAAACAAGATCTAGTTATATTCCTATTTCCAAAAGTCAACAACAGAACATCCCTCCTCTAACTCAGTTTAATAATTTTTTTCCCAAAATATAAATGTTGGAGCAGAAAAGTAAATTTAAAATAGTAATGATATTTAGTTCCAGCCAAGATGGATGCGTAGATGGATGGATGCACTTTGCCTCTTCGCACAACCAAAAGAAGACCACCAAATTTAGAAACAAAAAGTGACCAGAACTGCCAGAAAATTGAACTGTATGGAAGTCCAACAACCAAGGAGCTAAAGAAGAAACATTCACCCAGACCAGTAGGAGGGACAGAGAGGACACATGGCAAGGAGGCAGCTGGCGGCCCAGGTGGTCCCACATTTGTGTGCAGATAACTGGGAGGAACAGCTGGGGAGCAAGACAGACTGTGCAATCCAGGGTTCCAGTGCGGGGGAAAAGCCAGCCTCAAAACCCCTGGAGGTAAAAACCTGTGGGGGTTGCGATGATGGCAGGAGAAACTCCCAGCCTCACAGGAGAGTCCATTAGAGACCCACAGGGTCCTAGAATGTACACAAACCCACCCACCTGGGAATCAGCACTAGAAGGGCCCAATTTGCTTGTGGGTAGTGACTGAAAGCCGGCTCACAGCCAAGCAAGCAGCACTGTTCCCTCTCGGACCCCACCCCCACAGACAGCGTCAGAACGCAGTGACCTGGGTTGCCCTGCCCTGGTGAATACCTAAGGCTCCATCCTTTCCAACGTAAGAGGCGCGCTGAGACAGAGAAATATGGCCCAGATGAAAGAATAGGTCAAAGCTCTGAAAATAGAACTAAGTGATGAACAGATAGCCAACCTACCAGACATAGTTCAAAACACCGGTCATCTGGGATGTTTGCTGAATTGGTTGACTATGGTCACAAAATGGAGGGAAAGGTGAAGGCTATGCAAAGTGAAACAGAAAAATAACAGGGAACCAACAGTAAAGAAGGAAACTGGGACTCAACGATTTGGAGCAGAAAGGAGAGATAAATATTCAACTAGAACAGAATGAAGAAATAAGAATTCAAAAAAAATGAGGAGAGGCTTAGGAACCTCTGGGACAACTTTAAATGTTCCAACATCTGAATCATAGCGGTGCCAGAAGGAGAAGAGGAAGAGCAAGAAATTGAAAACTTATTTGAAAAAATAATGAAGAACTTCCCCAATCTGGCCAAGGAAATAGACTTCCAGGAGATCCAGGAAGCTCTTAGAGTCCCAAAGAAGGTGGACCCAAGAAAGCACACACCAAGGCACATCATAATTAATTACCCAAGATTACAGATAAGGAGAGAATCTTAAAAGCAGCAAGAGAAAAGGAGACAGTTACCTACAAAGGCGTTCCCATAAGACAATCAGCTGATTTCTCAAAAGAAACCTTGCAGGCAAGAAGGGGCTGGCAAGGAGTATTCAAAGTCATGAAAGGCAAGGAGCTACATTCCAGATTACTCCATCCAGCAAAGCTATCCTTTAGAATGGAAGGGCAGATAAAGTGCTTCCCAGATAAGGAAAAGTTAAAGGAGTTCATCATCACCACGCCTTTATTATATGAAATGTTAAAGGGACTTATCTAAGAAAAAGATAAAAACTATGAACAGTAAAATGACAACAAACTCACAGCTATCAACAACTGAACCTAAAAACTAAGTAAACAACTCAAGCAGGAACAGAATGATAGAAATGAAGATGGGGTGGGGAGAGGGGGAAGAATGGGGGAAAAGGCAGAGGGAATAAGCAGCATAAATAGCAGGTACAAAATAGGCAGGGGGAGGTTAATAATAGTATGAGAAATGGAGAAGTGAAAGAACTTTTATGTACGACCCGTGGACATGAACTGAGAGGGGGAGGAATGCTGGGAAAGGGGTGGTACAGGGCAGAGGGGAGTAAAGGGGAGGGAAAAAAATGGGACAACTGTAATAGCATAATCAATAAAATATATTTAAAAAATAAAATGAAATAGTAACGATATTTAATATGCTCCAAACCAGTGTTTCTCAAGGTATGGGGTGGGGGGATTCGTAGTGCAATTTCCTGGGGTATCTGTTTAAAATGCACGGGCATGGCCCTGGCGGGTGTGGATCGCTGCATTGAACACCAGCCTGTGAACTGAAAGGTCGCTGGTTCAATTTCTGGTCGGGACACACGCCTGGGTAGTGGGCCAGGTCTCCAGTTGGGGGCATGTAAGAGGCAACCAATCAATGTTTCTCTCCCTTTCTCCCTCCATTCCCTCCTCTCTATAAATAAATAAATAAAACCTTTAAAAAAAAAAAAAAAGAATAAAATGTATGGGCAGGGAGTCTGGAGCTTTCAGGCAGGCTCCCCGTCTGGCACTCCTGCGCTGTGGGGCCCACTTTAGCCCTCTCCAGCAAACACAACTAACGTGTAGACATCTAACCGCAGGATCTTCCTGCCATAGAAGCAGTTTCTCAGGCATGAACAACTTATTTCAGTCACTGGAATTTGTTCCATCATGTGACACTTACTGAGCATCTGTTATGGCCCAAGCACTGTGCTGGCCCTAGGGATGCAGCAAAGAGCTGGACAAGCAGGTCCTCACTCTCATGAACTCAGAGCTGGGTCTGGGAATGCAGGGGTGCAGATGGGGCAGGGTGAGGATAAGTAAACAAGTGATGGGTGCTATGGAAGAAAATGAACCAAAACAGTGGTGGTGGGTGGGCAGAAAGCTGAGGCCTGACATGAGAAAAAGAGGCAGAACAAGTGCAGCGTTCCTGAGGCAGGAACAGCTTCAACATGGGGCTTCTGGAAGCGGGAGGAGGGTAGCAAGGCATAAGGGAGGAGGCAGGGCTGGGTAGCAGAGCCTTGCAGCTCCTATTTAAAGTGTGAGGGAAGCCATCAGGGACTTAATGCATGAGAGAGGGGTGACAAGATACGGTCTCTGCTTTTAAAAGATCACTCTGGCTGCTGTGTGAGGAGAATTTTTTAAAATTTTTTGTGTGTGTGTGTGACGGAGGGCTGGCGGTGGTGGTGCGTAAGTAGAAAAAGGCCATGGCATCCATCCAAGCTAGAGATACGGGTGGCGAAGTGGTGAAGTAACTCTACACCACCTATCTCTACTGGGAGTGAACAGGGAACTATGAGAGCGAGCCGGCCCCGGACCTGCTGATGGATGGGTGCGGGGAGGGGATGAGAGAAACAAGAAACAAGGATGACCTTTACTCATAGGTTAGGGCGTTGAGCAACTGTGTGGATGGTGGCACGATTTACCAAGTAGGAAAAAGGAAGAGGAATGTGCTTAGGGGAGAAGAACTTTTTTCTTATACCAACTGCAAGGTGCCCATTAGACATCCAAGCGAAGACGGCAGGTGGACACGAGTCTGAGACTCCAAAGGGAAGTTGACGAACCCAGAAGGCATCAGCAAGGATGGTGTTTAAAGCCATGGACTAGTTAAGACTTCCTGGAGCCTGAGTTTGACAAAAGACATAAGACGGCCCCCTGGGTCACCCCAACATCTGGAGTTTGAGCAGAGAAGCAAGCAAGGGAAAGGCAGTACTGTCAAGAACGTGCAGGAGTTTGGAAAATTGTACGGCCAGCCACCAAAGGCTGGAGTTGGCAAGACTAGGAATTCAGTGGAGTGACGGGGATGGAAACGTGGAGGGATGAGGGAGAAGAGGTGGAAGTGGAGAGAGAACTCTTGGGGTATGCGGCTGAGAAGGGAGGGGAGAAATGGGTGGTAACAGGAGGACACGAAGACAAAGGCTTCTGTGCTGCTGTTTCACCACGGGAGCCCCCTGAGATGCTTGCCACTGGGAGGGGCCCTGCGCGGGGCCAGAAGAGAAGGCAGGGAGCAATGGCTCCAATGCAGGGGGCGGGTGGGGGGCACCTAAGGAGAGAGGACACGTAAAAATGCATTTTAGAACATTGGGCAATTATAGTAGGGAAGATCTAAGAAGTGAGGAGTGCTATGTGACATCTGTGATCCAGCATTCAAAGTGGGATGGCTCAGTCCACCGCCCAATTCTCCAGGCGAAATAAAGTACTGTTATCAGGAATACAGCCACAAAGTACAATTCCTTGCTTTAGAAAACACATCTCCGTAATTCCAGAATTGCTCATGAATGTGAATTCATTCCCTCTCCACACCCACACTGCCCCCCCCCACACACAGACACATTTGATTCTCATTATTCACAGTAATTATGTTTAATAAAGTCACTGCTAACACTGAAGTTGCAAGTACCAAACCACTGTTGATCAGGAAATAAGAGGGCTGGGTTCCTGAGAACCTCTAGTCACATTAGTTGGTCAACACGACCTTATTTTATGTTTTTGTTTAAAGACACCTTTGTCAATGATAAATACATACTACTTTTTAAAGATTTTATTTTTAGAGAGAAGGGGAGAAATAGAGGCAAACATCAATGTGTGGTGTGGCAAACACACCACACATTGATGTTTGCCTCTTGTGCGCCACCTACTGGGGACCTGGCCCACAGCCCAGGCATGTGCCCTGACTGGGAATCGAACCAGCGACCTCTTGGTTTGCATGTCGGCACTCAATCTACTGAGTCACTCCAGCCAGGTTTTTTGTTTGTTTGTTTTTTAAGGTTTTATTATTGATTCATTAACATTGAACTCACAGCCAACAGCACTGTAACTCATTCCTGAATGAAGGTTATCTAAGGCTTATCATGGCCTTCTTGTACTTAAGAACACTAGATGGGTGGTCCTGGCCAGGTAGCTCAGTTGATTAGAGTGTCATCCCCATATGCCAAGGTGGTAGATTTGATCCCCAGAGAAGGCACATACAAGAATCAACCAATGAATGCATCAGTAAGTGGAGCAACAAATCGACGTCTCTCTCCTTCTCCAGCCCTTTCTCTCTCTAAAATAAATAAATAGCCCTGGCAGGGTGGCTCAGTTGGATGTAGCATCATCCTGTGCAGCAAAGGTTGCAGGTTTGATTTCCAGTCAGGTTACGCAGATTGTGGGTTCAGTCCTGGTTGGGGGCTGTATAAGAGGCACCCAAGAGATGTATTTTTTGTCTTTCCCCTCTCTAAAATCAACAAACATATCCTCAGGTGAAGGAGGGACTCTCTCTCTCTCTCTCTCAGGTGAAGGAGGGACACTCTCTCTCTCTCAGGTGGAGGGTCTCTCTCTCTCTCTCTCTCTCAGGTGAAGGAGGGTCTCTCTCTCTCTCTCTCTCGTGGAGGGACTCTCTCTCTCTGTTCCGAAAAGTGAAAGGTCTCTGGTTTGATTCCTGGTCAGGGCACATGCCTTGGGTTCGGGGTCCGGTCCATCAGGGTGTACACAAGAGGCAACTGATTGATGTTTCTCTCCCTCTCCCCCTTCCTCCCTTGCCCTCTCTCTAAAAATAAAAAAATCTTTAAAAAAAAAAAACCCAAAACCACTACATGGAACTTCAGCACATTTGGGGGCCATTTTATTTTATGTATTTATTTTAAGTGACAGAAATTTACTTTTCATAGTTCTGGAGCTTGGAAGTCTAAGATCAGGGTGCTGTCGGAGTAGGCATCTGGGGAACCCACTTCCTGTGTACTCACATGGTGAAACTGGGGGCCATTTTAAACAGCAACCACCAATTAGGAAATAACCTGCCATTAAATAAAGTTTGAGCTGAAACAAGAAGGCAGAGCCTTGTTTAACCTCAGCTGGGGAGGCGTGCTTCAGGCAATTCAAATTTTTACTACTCTGTGCATGTCTGAAAATGACTACAAAAGCACAAGCATTAATTTTGGGATTATAAATTTCAGTGAAGTCGCAAACAAGGAATTTGTGAAAAATGAGGATCAGTTATATTTAAAACTATGACATTTTATGACATATTATTATACACACACACCAGGGGGCTTATGGAAGGAGGGGCCTGTAGCCTACAGCCCTGGAATCAAAAAAGCAGCCCTTGGGAACCCCGCCCCACCAGGCGGGGCTGTGCACAGCTTCTTCCCCAGCGCGGCCCAGCACCACGGTGTGGGGGCGAGGCTGGTGGATTCTGGAATGACAGTAAGTGGGTTCAAAGGCCAGCTCTACTACTTATTTGCTGGATGACCTGGGCAAGTTTCCAGAACTCTCCGTGTTTATAAATCTTGTTTGGTTAACCTATATTGGACCTCTAATTAAAGGGCAAACAGTATTTTAATACAAATAACTAGGCACAGGCCTGCCACTAAATGTTTGTGCTCAATGAATATTTGGTGACTTAGTGAACAGAGATCTAATATCTGGTGAGTCAGAATTCTTATACCTGAGGTTTGCTGAGACAACAAGGTTATGTATACGTTTGTTGTTTAATTTCTCCTCACCTACAAGCTAATCAATAAGGGCATTACTTAATGATTCTCCCCAGTCGTGGCTTTTTTTAGCGGGGGCTGTCCTCTCAGTATCGCCCACTGCCTTCTCACTGATGACATCTAATTGTTCCCCTTTCCCAAGTAAATACTCTGAAGAAGAAAGGCTGAGTCATTCACCCTAAGGTATACATGACCCTTTGAAAACTGTCAGAAACTAGTACAGGATGTTTCCTACCTAAACATCATCTTCTGGTATCTAGTAAAGGTAGAAAACATAAACACCCTGCCTGGAATCCTATTCGTTTAGTTTTCCGTCCACCTGTCCAACACACGTCTCACTAGGCTCTCTGCCAGGTGCACCAGGCAGAGGCAGGAAGTGACTTGCCTAAAGTTCCCAATTTTCATCAGAGGAAGGTTAAGGTTTGAACCCAGGTCTTCCCACTCTGAGACCTGGCTCCACAGTCTCCAGTGAAAGACAAAACCCACAATATCCAGGCTGGATTCAAGGCCAAGAGTTGTGACGCACATTCGAGTGGGGGTGGGGGTGGGGATAAGGAAACCAGCAAGTCGAAGATGGAACAAAAGACAAAACACAAACTAACCAGCCAGTCCCTGACCAAGAGAAACATCGGTTTCAAAATGTACGGCCAGGGTGTGTGCTAATTTATTAGGGTTGACTTTCCATTTCAGTTTCCTGGGAAAGAAAAATTCCTGTGAATCACTTAATAAATATTAACTGGACTTCAATACATCACAATTTAAGGGAACTGTTTAAAAAAACCCTCCTGTGACTTCACTGCTGAAAGGACAGAAGTCACCAAAGGATGTCACCTAGCCTAGGGCAGCACCAGGAAAATCAATACCTCAAAAGTGAAAGAAAAGTAAAATGTCCAATCAAAACCATGATTTCCTTAATTGTATCAAATTCCATAAAAGTCACAAAATATTCTTAGAAATTTGGAGATGGAGAGAAATAATCCAAAAAGTGACCAAAGGCTCTAATTAGAAACCATCTCTGTCCCCCATGTTGCCTGAAAGGCTACCTCAAATTTTCTGTTTAGAAGTCCTTCGACCTCAGGATGAAAACGCAGCTTTCGGCCAATGGATCCCCCCTCCCGGGCTGGCTTGGGCTCCCCAGGCCCTCTCCTCTGGTTCAGCCCAGCTGGAGGCCCCCCCTGCTTCTTTTTCTCATCTCCAATTACTTTCCCTAAAGCTCTTTTCACACACCCAGTTCCCTTTTATGGCCCAGCCCCTGGCTGCGTCCTACAACTTCTTGTGCACGTCCCAGGGCTCCCCAAAACACATGGGCGTACTGGGATCTCCTGGGCGGGAGCATGTGCTCTGAGGCGCAGTCTGCACCCTCAGCTGAAGGAAATGAAGGGCAGGCGCCGGGCAGGGAGTCAGCTCCAGAGCCAAGGCCATTCCCCTCAGCGACCCTGGGAAAAGGCCCCACCCCCATCACCTCTTTTTCATAGCCTTCCCTACAGCTTCAACATTTCACAGGGCCAAACAAAACCTAAAGTTTTTCTGTTCTTTACTAATAAACATTCCTTCATGGAAATCAGCCCAAAGTTCATTAATGTCTAAATATGTGAAAACAGGCACCACAGGCAGAAGGTTATAAATTTTCCCCCTTTTAGTGGAAACATGAACAAACTCTATATGGCACGGCCCTTGAGTGTCCAGGAGACAGTCCTCTCTGTCCCACAGGCTCCGAGTCCTGCCTGTTGGCAGGGCCACGAGCAGTCGGCATGGCTTCCCACGTGCTTCTACCCAGCGAGGCTTGGGAGAGAAACTGAGTCCAAACAGCCTCCTTTCTCCTTGGGTCAGGTGGAAGGCCTTCTGAGGCCCTGGGCCCCAGAGAGCCACTGTGACCAACAGTCACCGCCCCATGATGAAGCTGGGCTCTTCCTCTTTCTCCTCCTCTGTTCCGGATGCCTCCTCAGAGCTGCTGGACGGCTGCTCTTGGGACTCTCTGGATCCTGCAATCATAAGACATTCAGATTAGAGATACCCAAATTCACTCAGATAATCTAGGGCGCTTCAGAAAAGGAGGAGCGATGTGAAAACATTAGGAACAGACAGTTTCCGGACAGTGAGGAGCTAGAGGACGTCTTCACATCCATCAGCCCTCAATGCCACTGCCCAGTATGAAGAGTCAGTCACAGCCCTGACCAGGTAGTTCAGGTGGTTAGAGCGTTGTCCTGATACACCAAGGGTGCAGGTTTGATCCCCAGTTAAGGCACATCCAAGAATCAACCAATGAATGCATGAATAAATGGAACAACAAAATCAGTGTTTCTCTCTCCCCCTTCCTTTCTCTAAAATCAAAGCATTAGTCACAGAACTTACCCACCGCTGCCTGTGGGTGGCTCTCATCCTTATTAAAAAGATCCAGCAGTACACAAAGAGCCTGATGCCCCATAAATCGAGCTCCACTGGTTTTATAAGGCATGGCAATATCCTCAACCAGGTCTGTAAGATTTAATATTTAATGCTGACAATACTGCTGCTGCTGTCTCAAGCTCCCACACTGCAGTCTGCAAAAGGATTTTCTAAAACTGTGTAGCAGTGGGCTCTGCCCACACCAATATGCTACCTTCCCGGCTCTTCCCACAGATCCAGAAGGCCTCTCTTGACACTCCACGTGTAGCTCTGAACTCCAGTGTTTTCCCCGGCGTGACTACCAGTACCCACAGTGCCACTGGGCTGGCCAAAAGCAGAGCACGAAGACAACTTGTTCCCAGCTCCTTCCTCTCCTTGGGAGCAGGGGAGTGGCTGAGAGCTGGAACAAGGCAGCACCCGCCCTCCAGCTCACAGTCCAGCGCAGGTGGCCACCTGCAGGCACAGTGGGTTCACCCCAGCCTGTTAACGGGCCCCCAGAGATTTGCTTCCGTTGTCATCACCAGGCCAGACAACGAGCTTCAAAGCAGGAGGCCTTGGGGTGCCCAGGCACAAGTATAGTCTAAAAATCACGTTCATACACTAGGATGAGACCTAAAACACACTAATGGCAATGGGGTGAAATCATCTCTAAATTTTCATTTAATAAATTTAGGATATTCCTCAACTTCATGCCAAAAAGAGTAAGTTTCAAAAGTACAAATGATGAGCATATTTTAATAGCTAATATTTGGACACCTAATATATGCCAGGCACTGTGTTGTTTACTGTCTTGTTTAACTCTAAGTACCACTACCATATACCCATTTTACAGAAGAGAAATAAAGAGATTTATTATTTATTATTACTGATTACAAGGCTCTCATAATCAATAAAACAAGGATCCAGGATTCAGACCCGGACTATTTGACTCTCTAGGCCTCTAACCACCGTGCCTGCAGAAATACCTAAGGAAACTCAAGCAAAAGAAAAACAAGGTGGAGACAGCACGGAGGTGATCATACTGAATGGGTAAGCAAATGTGCTCTAGCCATATGATGGAGAATTACTCAGCCTTAAAAAAGAAGGCGCCCTGGCTGGTGTGCCTCAGTTGGTTGGAGTGTCATGCCGTAAAAAGGCTGCAGGTTCAACCACCCAGTCAGGGCACATGCCTAGGTTGTAGTTTTGGTCCCAGGTTGGGGCATGTATGAGAGGCAACTGATCGATGTTTCTCTTTCTCATTGATATTTCTCTCAAGCCCCCCCTTCCTCTCTCTCTAAAATCAATATGCATGTCCTTGGATGAGGATTTAAAAAAAAAGGAAGGACATTCTGACACATGCTACAACATGGATGAATGTTACGGACATTATGCTAGTGAAGCAGGCCAGTCACAGAAAGATAAATATTGTATAACTCCTCTTATGTGAGATATCTGGAATAGTCAAAAACATAGAGACAGAAAATAAAGTGTAGTTGCCAGAGGCTGGGGGAAGGAGAATGGGAGATACTGTTTAATAGGCATAATTTTTGTTACGAGATGAAAAGAGTTACGGGGATTGATGCTGGTGATGGTGGCACAATTTGACAGCAATGAACTATACACATGAAATAGTTAAGATGATAAGTTTTATATCGCAATAAAAAAATGCATACTATGGAGAGATAGAGGGGAAAAAGAGAGGGATCAAAAACCTAGTTCTGAGCACTCAAGTACTCCCCAAGCTTTCCAATGTCATGGCACACGTGGGAAGGACACTATTTCTCTGGTCCATGAGGCAAGTGGTCCACGGCCTTGGGTGCTATCTCCACCTGGAGGGCTGAGGGGATCCAGGTCTTGCCACTCACAGCTAATTACCCACATGCCAGCTGGGGAGTTCAGCTCTAGAACTTGCGATCTAAGGCTGAAACCGATTATTATTTCTCTTTTATTCCATAAATTTGCATATTCTGTCTGCCTCAAGCTTAAAAACCTCCAAACACACCTGCAGAAGTCTGAAGACAGCAGGACCAGAGCAAAGGATTTGATCTTTAATTCTGATCTTAAACAGCAAAATATTAACGTGGATGTTTGTGAAATGGGGTGTTTTAGATGTCTGAGATGCTGCTTAACAGAGGAGGGCTCAAAGCATTCCTTGTGACTGAAAATCCCCCGAAAATGTAGTACCTCAGTAGTAAACAAAATTGATTCCTGTGTGTGGGAAAGATGCTGTAAGGGCCTAGAAGTATCACTCTCAAAGAGAAGAAACCTAGGCATCTGGTCACATTCAAATCATTCAGTAACTCAACAGACTTATTTCACCTATTCGTTCTTCCAACAGAAGTAAATAATAAATAAATAAAGTGCTTACTACTACTACTACTACTACTACTACTACTATGTTTAATGTTGAGAACATAGTATTTAAAAAGTGCTGTCATGCCCTGACTGGTGTGGCTCAGTGGACTGAGCACCATCCTGCAAACTGAAAGTTGTCGCTGGTTCAATTCCCAGTCAGGACACATGCCTGGGTTGCAGGCAAGGTCCCCAGCTGGGGGCACGCGAGAGGCAACTGATCAGTCTATCTCTTGCACATTGATGTTTCTCTCCCTCTCTTCCATTCTCTCTGAAACTAAACAAACAGGCGGGGGTGGGTGGGGCAGGGGAAAGTGGTGGCAGGAAAATGGAGACAAATGTATTTGAACAATAAAAAAAAACTAAATAAATAAAATCTTTTAAAAAATGCTGCCACAAAATACAACAAGAAACCACAACAGACATGTTAATATGACTAAAATTTAAAAAAAAATTAACAATACCAATTGCTGGCAAGGACGTGGAGGAACTCTTATTCATTGTTGATAGAAATGCAAAATGGTACAGCCACTTTGGAAGACAGTTTGCCAGTTTCTTACAAAGCTAAGCATACTCTTATCATATGATCCAGCAATCATCTTCCTAGGTATTGAATATACATTTGACAGATTAGAAAACTTACATTCACACAAAAACCATCACATAAATGTTTGTAGCAGCTTTATTCAGAAACTCCAAAAAATGGATACAACCAAGAGGTCCTTCAAGAGGTGAATGGATAAATAATCTGTAGTATATCCAATACAATGAAATACTATTCAACAGTAAAAAGAAATGAGCTACAGAGACATGCAGACATAAATGGATCTTAAAATGCCTTCTGCTAAGTGAAAGGAGCCAGTCTGAAAAGGCTACATCCTGCACAATTCCAATCAAATGACACTGTGGAAAGGGCAAAATTCTAAGAACGGTGAACAGATCAGTGCTTGCTAGGGATAGGGAGAAGGCTGAATGCAGAAGCGCAGGGTATTTTTTTTAAGGCAGTGAAACTATTGTGCATAATATTGTAATGGTGGATACATGATACTATGAATTTATCAAAACTCACAGAACTTTACAGCACAAAGAACAAACCTCGATGTATGCAAATTCTAGGATGTCAAGGATCCCAGGATGAAGTGCAAAATGTGATATATGAATCCTACTGAATTACAAATGGATGAAACCTGTGTGAGGGGGTTGGAGGACAGATGCTAACCTACATAATTTGGGAAATAGTGGAGCATGTAAGACTAAGGCAGAAAGAACTGTACAGAGCACTGTATTCTAGTTGACAAAAAGTTGTTTCTCACAGCTAACAGGTTAACAATTCTGAAACGAACATCCATGTATACTGGAAATGGACAATTAAATGGATGGATGGTGGGAGCTAGGTTACTCACTGTCAGAGTAGGAGGGTGCAGGCAAATAGGCTAAAAACGCTAGAATCCATGTGGCAATGGAGAGTTGGAGACATCAGTATGAACTCATGCTTATTAGCTTATGATGGTTATATATGGGAATATCTATTTCCTTGCTCTATCAGTTAAGAGGGCATAAAAATAACACCACCCTAGAAGTATAAAGAGTACATCTAGTTCCCAGATCTTGGTTTCTAACATCACTCTCCAATAAAGGGAACCAAGACTTCTTGGAGAAATGGCTGTTTTCAGATCTGGGGCAGGCAACATACAAGATAAATTTGGAATATCTTGTAGTGCCAGAGTAAGGAAATGCTAAAAAACAACTACAACCCTGCCCTCACTCCCTCCCAAAAAACCCCACAATGATGGGAATACATAAAAGGAACACAAGAACCAAATGAAAGTGCTCCCAGTGGCCAGGCTGGAATAATTTGAGCAACAAAATTAAGTAGTACTAGATTAACCCTAAAGTATAAATATCCATGAGCCCATATGGATACAAATAAAAAAACGGGAGAAGAAACGAATTTGTGCAGAATTTGAGTAGAAAATCCTCATGAGCACTGTCTTAGCAAGGTGATCGAGGTCAACACAACAGTGCGGAGCCACCGTGAAGCACAAAGCCTTGAGGTGATGACAGTGGCACTTTTATCTCTGCGGTCTTCCACCCACAAATACAGAATCCGTCTAATCGTGAGAAAAACATCTGAAAAATCTCAACTGAGGAACATTCTACAGAGCACCTGGCCCTCAAAACTCTCAAGGTCATCAAAAATAAGTAAAATCTAAGAACTGTCACAGTTAACAGGAGCCTAAGGAGACGTGATGATTAAATGTAATGT